CAGCTCCTCCCTTCTCTTTGGATCCCGGTCTGAGCTCCTGGCCCACGGTTTTATAAGTACGTCCCTGGCCGGGGTTGCTTTCTGATTTTTATCTCATCTGTATATAAAACCTTCCCTGATTCTGTATTCTTTTAGGTATGAATTATTATACACAGTTAGTTTTACTTCCATGAATAGAGTTTTATTCAATCAGTGCCACTCACTGAGTACTGAATTTTCCAGGTACTGACTTGAAATTCCATCTCTGTCACAAATCTAGCAGCCCAGGCCTGTGACCCCAGCGACCCCAGAGGCAGAGGAGGGAAGAGTGCAAGTTTATTGCCTTGGTTTCAGAGAGAGCTCAAGGTCACCATAGGCAACTTAGTGAGACTCAGTCCCAAAACAGATAAATGATTAAGTAGGGGCCAGACATATGACTCAGGCAGAACACTTGTCTCCATGTGTACAGCCCTAGATTCTATCACCAATCCTGAGAAAAATATATTTACAATTGATTTATTTGTACCTAGTTTATTACCAGTCTATTCTTTAGAATAATGTGATTGCTCTAATGAATTTACTCTAACCTTTTCCTGAGATATATTTTTATTCAATTACACTTATACATATTTGATTTTAAAAATTTGTTTATTTTATCTTATGTTTTGCTTGCATGTGTGTATATGCACTGCGTGTACTGCCTAGTGCCCATGGAGGCCAGAAGAGGGCATCTAATTCCCTGGGACTGGAGACCATTCCTGAGATCTCTCTGTAAGACAAGTAACCACTCTTAACTTCTGAATGTCTTTCTAGCCCCTTAAGTTAAAAACAGAATAACCTTTATTTCTATTTCATGTGTGTGGGTGTCTTGCCTGCATGTAGAGCTGGGCATCATGAACGTGTAGTACCCATAGAAGCCAGAAGAGGGCATCAGATTCCCCAGGGGCTGGAGTTAAAGATGATTGTGTGCCTCCTGAAGGGTGCTAGGAATTGAACCTGGAACCCCTGGAAGAGCAGCCTGTGTTCTTAACCCCTGTGCCACCTCTCCAGCCTCTTACCTATAAATTTCATATTGAGTAAAGTTTGATTTTCTATTAGTATTTCCACTTACCATTAAATCTATAAGCATAATTTAAAATAACTTTTTGTTTTTTAATTGTTATACATTTATTATAATAATTGAAACATCAATTCTGTCTTAGTCAGGGTTACTACTGCTGTGATAAAACACTATGATTAAAGCAATTGGAGGAGGAAAGGGTTTAAGGGTTTATTTAGCTTTTGTTTCCCCAGCACTGTTCATCATAAAAGAAGGTCAGGACAGGAACCTGGAGTCAGGAGCTGCTGCAGAGGCCATGGAGGGCACTGCTTACTGGACTGCTTCCCGTGGCTTGCTCAATCTACTTTCTTATAGACCCCAGGACCACCAGCCCAGGGATGGGTCCATAATGGGCTGGGCTCTCCCAGTCAATCAGTAAGAAAATGCCATACAGGCTTGTCTACAGCTGGGCCATATCGGAGGAATTTTCTTAACAGAGGCTCTCTCCTCTCTGATGACTTTAGCATGTGCAAGTTGGCATAAAACTAGCTATTTCAGGATCAATTGCCCTCTTCTGACCTCACGGGTATCCATAGATACATGCTCACACACACACACACACACACACACACACACACACACACACACACACACTACACTTTTAAAAGTTACTGGAAGACTTAAATGCATTGATATAGGCTTATGATTCAGAAAGAAAAAGGTATGCAAGTTTATTTATAGAATAATAACTTTTGTAAAAAATGAAACATAAAAATCCTGTTTTCCAACAAAATCTTTTTAGATAATTGAATTTGCAGTTGGAAAAAAATGTTTGCCTCCTGTTTCATCCTACTCATACAAAAATTAAGTTCCAACCAGCTTGGAAATTTAAATACATAAAAGGCAATTATGACAAGCACCATAGAGCACAGGCAAACGGGAATCTCGGGATTGTAACACAGAGGCAACTGAAAGGGAAAGTGGGCAGAGCGGCTGCTCCGTCCTGAGTGCTTCCTGTAACGGGTCACTTAGACCTGAGCTGCCTCTCACAGGTAAGCAGAGCGGTTAGACCTGAGCTGTTGAGGTGGTTGAGGTCTGTTCCATCTCAAATCTATTTTTATCAGACATTGTATTTGAATGACCAATGTGGTAGGCAAGGGTCACCTCTGGAGAGTCTTCATATACTGCAATTTGGGGTGTCACCTCTTTGTCTGACATAAGTGGGTCATGGGCTTAGGCCTGGATGACTTCTTACAGAGATCCTGCTAAAAACAGCCCGTTTCAAAGGAACTGAGGATTTAGAGCATCTTTTCTTTTCCTTTCTTTCTTTCTTTCTTTCTTTCTTTCTTTCTTTCTTTCTTTCTTTCTTTCCTTCCTTCCTTCCTTCCTTCCTTCCTTCCTTCCTTCCTTCCTTCTTCCTTTCTTCCTTCTTTAACCACCTGCTTCTTTCTTTGTCTCCCCACAATGTAAAAAGTCTCAGATTTTTCTTTTAGGTTTCTAAGATTAAAATTCAGTCCAGGTGTCTGCTACATAGAGGCCTTCTGTAGGCAACACTTTCTCCAAATCTGCCTTGCTATCATTAAAAGTTCCCTTTCCCTCCTCCAAACTTTCGTTTTCCCCACTGTCTACAGTCATTCTACCCCATGGATTCCTCTGCTCTTTACCGCAGGCCTGTCTTTAAATCTGCATATCTCTTAGTATAACTCATTCTCAGTTCTGGGCGGCATCACAGAGCCATGGCAGAAACGTCTGAGACTGTATTTTTCTTGGTGGAGCCCCTGTTGTTACCTGGCCTTTTGCTTCTCCATAATTATCCACAGAAACTCAACTGGTTGCAAAGCGTGAGAAGATCTAGCACCGAGCCCATTAGAGAAGAAACAAATGGATCACGAAGGGTAAAGGTTTCCTGGAAATGTGAGACGTGGCTTTTGTCTGTCTGTTTGACTTTAGGTAAATAGAAAACTTGCTTCCCAAAAAAACCAGGATAGCCAAACAATCCTGTACAATAAAAGAACTTCTGGAGGCATCATGATCTCTGACTTCAAACTCTACTACAGAGCTACAGTACTGAAAACAGCCTGGTATTGGCAAAAAAACAGACAGGAGAGCAAAGGAACCAAATGAAAGACCTAAATATCAATCCACACAACTACAAATACCTGGTTTTTGACAAAGAAGTAAAAAAATATCAAATGGAAAAAGAAAGCATATTTAGCAAATGGTGCTGGCATAACTGGATATCAACATGTAGAAAAATGAAAATAGATCCATATCTATCACCATGCACAAAACTCAAGTCCAAATGAATCTGAGACCTCAACATAAAGCCAGCCACACTGTACCTCATAGAAGAGAAAGTAGGAAGTACACTTGAACGCACAGGAAACCACTTCTTAAATATAACCCCAGCAGCACAAATACTGAGAGAAACAATTAATAAATGGGACCTCCTGAAACTGAAAAGCTTCTGTAAAGCAAAGGACACAGTCAACAAGACAAAACAGCAGCCTGTAGAATAGGAAAAGGTCTTTACCAGCCCCACATCAGACAGAGGTCTGATCACCAAAATATACAAAGAACTCAAGAAATTGGTCATTAAAAGAACAAATAATCTAATAAAAAATGGAGTATAGACCTAAACAGAGAACTCTCAACAGAGGAATCTAAAATGGCTGAAAGACACTTAAGGAAATGCTCAACATTCTTAGTCTTCAGAGAAATGCAAATCAAAACATGTCTGAGATTCCATCTTACACTTTTAAGAATGGCCAGGATCAAAAACACTGATGATAACTCATGCTGGAGAGGTTGTCGAGTAAAGGGAACATTCCTGCATTGCTGGTGGGAATGCAAACTGGTACAGTCCCTTTGGATGTCAGTGTGGTGATTTCTCAAAATATTAGGAAACAACCTCCCTCAAGACCCAGTAATATCACTTTTGGGTATATATCCAAAGGATGCTCAATCGTGCCACAAGTACATATGCTCAACTATGTTCATAGCAGAATTGTTTGTCATAACCAGAACCTGGAAACAACTAAATGCCCCTCGACCAAAGAATGGATAAGGAAAATGTGGTACATTTACACAATGGAGTACTACACAGCAGAAAAAAATAACGACATCTTGAAATTTGCAGGCGAATGGATGGATCTAGAAACATCATTTTGAGTGAGGTAACCCAGACCCAGAAAGACAATTATCACATGTACTCACTCATACGTGGTTTTTAAACGTAAAACAAGGAAGACCAGTCTACAAATCACAATTCCAGAGAACCTAAACAACAATGAGAACCTTAAGAGAGACATACATGGATCTAATCTACTTGGGACGTAGATAAAGACAAGATCTCCTGAGTAAATCAGTAGCATGGAGACCATGGGAGAGGGTTGAAGTGGAGGAGAGAGGAAGGGAGGGAAACAGATAAAATTGTATATCTCAATAAAAATCAATAAAAAAAACTTGCTTCCAAGTAGAGACACTTCTGCTTTGATTGACATTGCACAGAAAGAGCACTGAAGAGCTGGGGACACGTCATAAGGCAGAATGGTTGTCTGCAAACACGATGGCAAACATGACCAAAGAGTGGGATATGACGCAGGCATGTCACCTGCTGCTCAGGACAGCCACACAACAGCCCAACTCAAAGGGTGTGATCCAAATATGGCTGCTAACAAACCCCTGGGCCAGCTGCTCAGGACAGCCACACAACAGCCCAACTCAAAGGGTGTGATCCAAATATGGCCGCTAACAAACTCCTGGGCCCATCCTTGCTTTTGAATTTTATTTTCACTGATAAGAGTGGAGAGGCAGAGAATGGAAATCTCCAACCACTTAGGGCTGCCTGTAAGAAAGGAGACAGCAGAAGCCTCCTCCTTGAGTCCCAGCCTTGCTTAGAGATCCTGCGGCATTGATGCTGATGTGTTTGGTGTCCGGTTTTAGACAGTAAAGCCACCCAAAGCACAGGGGCCATACTCACTCATTGGGGGTTCCCTTCTGGCCACAAAAGTGTCCCTGGCTGTCTGTAGGATAGGCCACTCTCCTGGGGTCACCGTGTGTCCAAGCTGCGGGAACAAAAAAGGACAGAGTCTCCATCAGCAACATCTGGCTGAAGGCAGTCTGATTTGAGAGATTAGAATTGTCACGGCAATGCTCACCTCTTCCCCCTCAGTCATAGAACATTATTGATTTTCTTCAAAGAGCAATTTCTTAATGAAAAGTAAAATAAAATATGGATGAATTGGTCTGAAAGCGCGTTTTTCTTCTCTCCAGATTCATCTGGGCTGCAGCCAAAACATGAGGTAATGCACTTAGAAAATGACAGTTATTAAAATGAGGAGGAGAGAGGGCACAGACAAAAGCCCTCTTGGAAAAGAAGACGCCTTTTCTAAAGCTCCAGCACAAATGACTTCATGCCAGAGCTGATAGATTGACTCCAGGCAGCATGATGTAATGCTTTGGGGGTATACAGAAGAGAGAAACACCGAAGAATTCAACAGAGTGAACCGACCAGCTCTCTGATTTCACAGGACACTCAAAAGGCAGACAAGGACATGGCAGAGGCACCTGGCAGGAAAGATCTGCCAGGCATTTGTCCGGTAATCTCAGAGCTTAATGCAAAGACCATGCGTCCCTGACTTCAGTATAACAAGGACTCAGCCATGGTTTTTGTGGAGATGCTGGGCTCTGCTTCATGCAAACTCATCACCCCTTTCTGTTTGTTTTTGTGTGGGTGATAAACTTGGCCTGACATCTGAACGACAAATCTCTAGAAAGTAACATCCACCACTAAACTAGGTAATAACTGTTTGCTCTAACTGTTTTTCTACCTTCTCAAAGTTTGAACAATGCCATTGTTAAAACGTCTAGGCACAGCTGAAAACATATCCTGGTCCTTTGCTTCTGATAACACTGTTGCAGCATCTCCTTCCCCACACTTATTGGAGCTGACAGTTTGCCTCATAATTCAATCACCCTTATGCATGTGACTGGTGTGACAATAAAAAAATCCATTTTCCAAATGAAGGTTGTAGTAAGGAAGAGGATTTTTTTTTTCTCAGTACTTTTCTCATTTCTTCTGGTTAGTATCTAAGTACCAGGGAGGCTTCCTTTGTCTATTTCTCTCTAATGTCACAGAGGCCAAATCAGCTTCATCTAGGAATACCGTCTTGTGAGATCTGAGTAGCCACCATGTCTTTCTGTCCTTGTTTTCCAGAATAAAGAAAGAGCTATAAATAGTGTGCAAATGACATCCAAGTGTTCGGCGCTCAGTTAGACCCTTATTACAACGTTCCTGTGCCTTAATTTGCCACACACTGGCTAAGCGATCCAATTTTACCCAACTCTATTCTTTTAGCTTTATCCTAAAATGTTTTACCCTGTTTCTTTAAATAATTATTAGCTGAGAATTGGGCATCGGATTCCTTTTTATATGGTTTTTCTTTGCTCCTGAGGATTTCATGAGTACACATAAGGCAATATGTCCACTGCCATCCATCTCCCCAACCCCAAACTCTCCCCATATCGCCTCAACGTATTTCCCTCCCAACTTTATGTCTTCTTTCTCAATGGCCACAAAGTCCAGTCAGTGTTGCTCATGTGTGCAGCCATTCAGAGGAATATGGGCAGCCAGCGCCACTTCCTCAAAACAATGATGCTCCCTTCTCTGTTAATTGTCGATGGCCAAAGGCTCCTCAGTAAGAAGTAGGGACTGGAGAGTGTTCACCATATTTAGATATCTGTTTCTTGCTGTCTATAACCCAGATCAAATTATCCACGTATTTTAAATCCCCACTTTCTAATTAGCTGCTAAAGCACAGGAGCAGTGGTATAAAGTCCCTAGGATACTGAGCCTGAAGAAGATAATGGAAGTGGAAGGTCTGGTAGGGGCTCGGGACCCGCTGTGGGTGCAGTCATGCTAGCTCTTTATTTAATTTCTCAAAAATCAAAATCTGAACCCAGACTTTGATGCTTGTGCTTTGTTTGGAGTGGGGTGGGCAGCTCCCAGAAGCTTCCACAGGTGCCATGGGCTGGACCCAGGACAGATTAAGGGCCATAAAGGAGACAGTAATAAGCAGGCCACAGCAACAGACAGCTGTGGTCGTCGGAGAACTTCCGCGATCCCCTGGTGGTGCTTCTGGGGAACCATTGAACATTTGCCCCCGTAACTGTGAACGCATGCTGATGGGTTGAGGGGGAGTGGGGTCTCCCATCAGTAGCATTGATTTCTTTCCCCTTTTACATTATCGATCAACTAATTAAAGACTCCGCTAAGGGACCCCTGTGTGTTGTGGGTCAGTGTCAGCTCTGGAAAAGACACATGCCAGGGTTCTTAAAGAGAATTGGGGTGGGGGAAGATGAAGTTTATAGAGGGCTCAGTGAAGAAGCGGAATGTGAGGCAGACTTTGGGAAGTGATTAGGATTTGGACCTGGAGTTAGGTGTGGACAGGAACAACAACTGGAAGAACCGGAAGAACCTTGTGATACGGGAAGCTCCCTGTGGTATCTGCCTGGGATGGGTCAGAGACTCGGGCTACACCTGGGGCCTCTCATGCCCTGTGCATCTCATGGTAACCCTAAGAGGTTGCCATCCTTTTAATCTAAGGTTTGTATTAGAGTTTACTTCTCAAAATCATACATCTTTTACGTGATATAACCAGAGTTTACGATTAGGGCTGTTGCTTTGGTTTTATCCACCACACTACAGTGGCAAGGAAGTTAAATACATTAAACAAACAGAAAATACTTCCATAGTAAAAAAGTTTAGATGCATTAAATATTAAAAAATAATTCCTTATTAAATATTAAATAATGAAAGGTTTACGTAGACTAACCAATAATGCCTTCTGATAAGAATAAATTAGGAACAAGCTTGCTTTAGTTTCTTTCCTTTTGCCGTGATAAATATACCATGATAAAAGACAACCTAAGGGAGAAAGGGCTTATTGCAGCTCACAGCTTCATGCTATCACTGCAGGGAACTTAAAACAGCTGGCCACATAGCATCCGTAGTCAACAGGGGTTTGTCTCAGTGACGGACAGGCTAACTCACACACCCAAAGACAGGAGAAGCAGGTAAAGATGGAGGTGTCTAAGAAGGAGCTCCCTTCTCCACCTCCTGGTGCTGCCCTGGGGCCATGTTTACTGCGCATCTTCCACCTTTCCCACTCTGCTCCGGTGAGGAGGCCTGGCCACAGACAGTGTGTGTTGAGCTGGGAGTGCTCCAGGCTGCCAGAAAGAAGAGGAAAGGAGACACGCAGCAACAGAAGCCATGTTTGACGCTGGTCAGGAAGTCAGGGGTATCCACATTTTACTTCATTCGTGTAAGTTTTCTACACGTGGGATTTCCAGAACAGGCTGTCTGCTGTAGAAGTCACCTGTCTACTAAGAACTAAATGGGTTATTAGAACAGACACAGGGTACGAGTGTGAAATGCATGACTTGTTTTATTTTATATTTTGAGACAGGGTCTAATGTATGTCCAGCTAGAATTCAGATATGGTCATCTGATTCTGAACTTCTGTTTCGCCATGTCCACCTCCAGAGCGCTAGGATTACAGGTGTGCACAACCATGCCTAGTTCACGTGCTGTTGAGGTTCTATGCATACTAGGTAAGCATATCTTAAACACAGTATGGACAAAATCATAGACTCTCCCCATATTTTATACTGGCTACATTTGAAATGATACTTAAATTCATTATTAACTCACTGAAATAAATTCACTTGTTTTTTAAAAGGACTCTCAATGTGGAAAACAAGAGATTACAGTGTCAATTAAGATGTCATCTCTCTGTCAGATCTGGTCTGGAAAATATCCTCACAAATGCGGACTCCTTGTACAAGGTGATGAACAGCATTGTTACGCTGTTGTTCTGACTAGTAAGTCATCCAAAAACCTGTGGTACCCAACACGTCATTATTAGAACAAATACTTTACATGTCCCTTTCAAAATCTGGCAATAATGCTCACTAATAAAATAACATTTTTCTTTTTGAAATGTAAACATATAGTTAATGGCTGCTGGAGAAGGGGAAGCAGTTTCCTTTAAGGGTGTGGCCGGCACTGTGCCCACAGTGTTCCAGCAGACAGCTTCTCCTTGGAGCTATTTTTTAAAAAATTGGCCATGAAGAGGCCTGAGTCAGAGAAGAGGTAAAGGGAAGAGTCAGGATGAATATGATCAATATATATATATTGCTTTTTAAATAGGGTTTCTCTGTGTAACAGCCCTAGCTGTCCTGGAACTAGCTCTTGTAGTCTTGTAGACCAGGCTAGTCTTGAACTCACAGAGATCCTCCTGACTCTGCCTCCCAAGTGCTGAGATTAAAGATGTGTGCCACCACTGCCTAACGGCATGCTATATTTTTAAAGTATACATAATGCCCCTATTTAATATAAATGAGAAATAAGAACTAATTCAAAATTAAATAATATGTGTGTTGTCATGCAGAAACTGAGGCTCGAGTAGGAGACAGAATGAGGAGGTCGGATGTGATATCTACAGTTGGAATTTCTCCTTCATGGAGGGGCCTAGTCCCTCACAGTTTGAATGTGAACTGGACTTGGGACTTGCTTTTCAGAAACAGAATGTGAAGTTCCGTTGGCCTTGGTGGCTTTTAAGAGTAGAAACAGAGAAGGAGTGGAGGGAGGGGGCACAGAGGGAAGATGGGGGAAGAGGGATTGGGAGAAGAGGAAGGAGGGGAAACAGCAGTTGGGTTATAAAGCAAGCAAACACACACACACACACACACATATATACACACACATATTAAAAAGAGTAGGACACATGACTGATAAAAAAGTCAATGAAATGATTCCTAATGATATTCTGCTTTACTCGCAGGTCTGAGCCTTGCATAATCATCATCAGAGAGGCTTCATCCAGCAGCGGATGGAAACAGATTCAGAAATCCACAGCCAAACAATAGGAAAATCCTAGAGAGAAGAGGGATTTTAGGAACCAGAGGAGTCAAGAACACCACAAGAACACGGCCCACAGAAATCAACTCACCTGGGCTCCTAGGGGCTCACAGAGACTGAAGCGACAGTCAGGGAACCTGCATG